TCTCTAGTGTGCTCTGTCACTACTCAGTTCTGTTAGTGCTGTCTTACTGAAGGCATTACATCATTTCTCCGGGCATTCTTTTCTCCTTCTCCTCTAACATAAGGACCAAATGTTGCTATTTAAACTACATTGTAGCCTGATACAGTGTTGAGATACCCACTGAGCTGCCAAGTCTGATGTTTTGATTGTGAGCCTGGCCTTGAAGTGGCTCAGCATCTCTCTAGACCAAGGTAACAGTCTGGGAGCATCTTTATACCGCTGTGTTGGTCTCTAGTGCACCCACAGATGAGTTTCTTTTCTTCCTCTCCATCCGGCTCACGGCCTGGAAACAGACGATAGCTCTTTGGGCTGCCGCTAAAGACTGTCTTAGCTTTAGATTTCCCAGAGGACTTCTTCAAGATTTCATGGATACATAAAATGTGTGTGAGGATCTTACGTGAGTGCCTCCAGGACCCCAGTTGGTTAAGTTATGTTGAGTCTAGGAAACTCCAGGCAGGTGATGGATTTAATCACTTCCCTTCTCACTGGACCTGCACACAAATGTTCAGAGATGCATGCTATTTGTAGCAACTGTGTATTCTGAAGTACTCTTTTAAGGGATTTTTGGAGACTGGGAAGGGTTTAGAGTAAGCTTCAAGGTGACCTTTGCTGGTACCTTTTAGTTTCTTTATACCCCCTGGAGCAGGTGTTACTCAGACCTGCTCTGTCACCAGCCCCACAACTGGTCATGCACACTCTATCAGTATTCTCCTTTGACATGCTATTAATGTAGAAATCTCTCCTCACCCAAACGATGGAGATGATTATGATGAGCCCGGAGAGGATATATTCCTTTTTTTTTTCTCCTAGAAAATTGGATTTGGCCTGAGTTATGAAATATATTCATCCGTGTTGTAGCTCAGTGGTTCTCAGCCCTGGCTAGACATTCAAATTACCTAAGGAGCTTTTTAAAAATACCAACTGCCCGGGACTTTCTCCAGAGTCCTGAAATCAGGGGCGCAGTGTCTGGAGCCTGGCTGCAATCTTCTTTAGAGCTCCGTAAGCAAGTGGATTGTGAAGCAAGGGGTGGGCAGCTGGAGAGGAAGATGGACAGGCATGGAGGAGGCGCCTATCCTGCCACTGCTATTACCAGAAGTACCATTAGTACTGCTAGTGAACACATATTAGGTGCCTATTGTATAGGGACATTGCTCTCAGTATCGTCATTTAATGTTTTTCTTAAAGCCATGAGTTTATTCTGTTTTTACAAATGTCCATATGGAAATCCTTGGGGATATAGAACCCTGCTATCTGAGTAGAATGACAGTCCCTTGGGGTTACTCCCTGCTACAAAAGCAACATCTAACCTGCTTGTTAGGTATATACCTGGTTTTCCATATTCACTGCCTTGTCATATAAGGCCTCAGTGACGTTCATATGCTCAGCCTATCGGCTCTGCCAGTAGAGACCTGGGTATAACATAGCAAACAGCCAGGAGTCCAGATCCTTGGCCTCCTAGTTCCTAGTGTCAGACCTCACCTGCGGCTTCTAAAGTAAGTCATGGTTGAAAGTAGAGAGACCCTGATAACACAGCACCCTGTGAGACTCTGGCGGAACAGATGAGCTCTGCTGACTGTTCAAGTTGACACTGCTGTGTACTCAGAGGGGGCACTTTTGTAGATGGTTCCTTACGCTCTGTGTATAACCTTCCCGGGAGGGCTCCATCAATGGCCGGAGTGCAGTGGCATTTACTGTGTAGGCACATGGATGCAGAGTCGGGTAAGGGCCTGTGCTCTGCCCCAGCCCAGTCCTACTTACCAATCCTCTCTTTTTTCCCTTTCAGATCCTGAGCTCTATGCCCAAAGGCCCCAAGAGCTTTGGATATGCTTTCACCTCTCTGAAAGTTGACCCTGAATACAATCATCTGCAAGGCTGTCCGGATTTGTTGTCTGGGAGCCTATTCTGGGCAATGCATTTTGATAACAGTTCGTTGTCCTTTGATCTTCGTAGCCAGCAAGTTACCTACTGCATTTTCAAACATCCTGACAGCTTTGAAAGTCTAATATCCTAGGATAAAAAGCTTTATGCCAAGGAATTGCAGGCACACGTTAGGAGAGAAGTTGGCTGTGGAGAATACCCGTCTCCCTGCAGCTTCCCTAACGCCCTCCCACGATGAACCTCAGTTGCCAGCGTATATAAGGCATTTAGGGCCTCTGGGTTATGATACATGGGAGAAGGACAAATTTCATGATCTGCTAACACAATTGCAGGACTTAGGGTCACGTGCCAGTAGTGATGAGCTCTGTTCCTTCCTATGTACAGAAAGAAGGATTAACTACAGTTGTCTTATTCCTTCAGCACACTATCTGGTTGCAAAAGTTTTCTAGAATGAAGGGAGGGAGGAAAAAGGAGGCGAAAGATAAGAAGATGAGAAATGTTGAGATGTGGTACACCTTCCTGGGTGGGATGTCTCAACAATAGCCATACTATAAGGGTCTGGTGTTGGCAGTGTTTCTGCTGCGTTTGTTGGCTGTGTAGCCTAGGTGAGATGCTTTTGTTACTTTGCAAGGTCTTTTTTAGGGAAAACAGTCTTCTTGAAGTGCTCAGTAGGGACTGACTCACTGGCTCAACAGTTAAAAACATTTGCTGTTCTTGTATAGAACCCAGATTTGGTTCCCAACACCCATGTCGGGTAGTTCATAATTGCCCATAACTCTAGCTTTTGGGGACCCAATGGCATCTTCTGGCCACCAAGGGAAGTCACATATGTGCACATACACATATGTAATATGCAGTCACACACACATAGATACAAATAAAACAAATCTTTAAAAGAATTACTTAGGTCAGGGTTATTATATCATCTAAAGGTCAAGATAGAGACTCCTTTCTCATTTGGTATCTAGGTCCTGCTGTAGAATCAGAAGTGTTCTGTAAATGATGAGGATGCTGGAAAACAAGGACATGCTGGCATTGCCCTAATCATTGCCTTCCAAGGTCTAGGGACATCTGCCACACTCATCAAAACTTCTGGGCTTTGTGCTATGTATCATTCATTCTTAAGGAACTTTAATTCTTATGGAAATTTTTAAAATGTTAGGAACATTTCGTCGTCAAAGCCATTTTTGAGTTTTGTGCAGAATGGCTGCAGAATGTGTTGAATGGAGTGCGCTGAGATTTGTCACATCATTTGTGGGAAGACACATTCCCATAATGCACAATTAGACTGGTTGCATTATTGCAGGGTATTCCTGAACGGTCTTCTAGACCTAAGCCACTGTGTTCAGACATACTCTCCTATTAAATCTAACACTGATCCTCCTGTTTGTGTATGTGCCCAGTGGGGTTTGGCACAGTAATAGGCCTCTAACAGATTGCTCATCATGTTCACATTTAAAGGGTTCCCCTAACCTTTAGCTAGCAGGTATTTATGTTGTGTCTTTTAGTTAAGTGGACCTTGCTGTCCAGTTAATATACACACATGGTCAATTACAGTGTGGTCCCTGTGGATGTCAGGCGGCTTATAAATCAGAAGGCTACAAAACAAAAGAGATAGATGATGACTCAGGGTGGAAAAATCTGTGTGCCAAACCCTACTTATTTATTGCATTTGGAAAAATGTCCCCAGTTGAATTGTTCCTGGCTTAAACTCTGCTTCCTTTTTTATTCCCATTTTCTAAGTTATTTTTATGGTGTACTGTCTAAAGCACCTTTCATCTACTAAAGAAGAACATTTATCACGTTCCCTAATCTATTATTTATAAGTACCTTGGGCTTCTGGCGTTTTCTGCATTTGTTCCCATAGCAAGCAAGCCCTATCATCTTGCTTCCTTGTTGGAGATTTCCCTGGCTTCTTGGGTTCCCCTGATGGCTTGGAGCTTCCAGGTAGATGTCTCCATGTGATTCAGTGTCACCAAATGGTAACCTGTGCAGGCCCAGGCTACAAACCAGTCAAGATGGCAAGATGCTTGGCTTCTCAGATGGGCAGATACCCAGACTCACTCTAGAAAGTTCAGTCTTCTGTCCTGCCTACAGTTCAATGGCTATGTCACCGTGAGCAGGAATCCTCTAGGTCTCTGTTTTATCCTCTGGAAAAAGGGAGCAGTTCTAATCCACCTCTGAAATTTGGATCTAATAAAGCAGTAAATAAAGCTCTTAGCAAAGCTTCCAAACTTCCCCAAGCCCTGTGTGTGTGTGTATGGTTGACACTGAGATGTCTTGTTTAATGGTTTCTCCACCTGATTGTTAGGAGACAGGGTCTCTCCTTGAACCTAGATCTTCTATTTCCACTAGCATGGCTGGCCATTGAGCCCCTGCAGTCTGCCTGTGCCCACCCTGACAGCACTGGAGTTGCAGTCTGTTGCCACATTCCTGGATTTTTTAAGTGGGTATGGGGATCCAAACTCGGGTTCATATTCCGGTGTAGCCAACTCTCTCTCTCTGGTATCCCTGAGTCATCAGCTAGCCCTCCTTAATCTTTTTTCCCTCATTAGGAAGCAATAACAATGTCCTATGAAAACATACCAGCAGGAGCCTGTTAATCACATTCAAGCTAAGCTGTAGAGATGAAAGGAAGCTAGCAAGTTCAAGGCGAACTGGAGAAACAGTTTCGAGTTCTCCCAAGTCAGGTTCTAGGTCCAGTAATGCCTGTGTCACTTGAGTCCTGGTTACAAAGGCACATTGCCAGTGGGTTGGACAGTCAGCGTGTTAACTAGTCCTTTGGGTAATAGATGATCACTGAAGTTTCAAACCCAGTGGCCCAAAACAAACTCAATAAGTATTGGTTGTGTCTATAGAAGTTTGAGTGCATGCTTACCCATGTGAGTCCCTGCCAAAACTAACCAGATGTGTTACATCAACACAACTAGAGTGAGTGGTGCTCAATTACCCAGTGTCCCTTGGTACTTTTGTAAAAATGGACATATATCTAGACCATCCCCCTCTCTTTTGACAGCTTTACACCAAATTATTTTGAGGGCAAAAAAATTTACCATTCAATGTTCTCTTTTTTTTCTCCCTAGGAAATTCCACTTACTTGGATGACCATGGACCACCTCCTAGTAAGGTAAGGTCATTTCTTGTGGTATAATCTACTTTTCCTTTAGCAATACTCATGTGCTTGTATACTCTAGCAAGTCCCAGGCCTCCAGTGAACCCAGGCAGGTTCCTTCTAGCCATGAGTTGTTCAAGAAAGCAAGCAGTAGATGGATGGTGTTAAAAGAATCTTTAACTTTAATGAGGAGGAACCTTAAGAGCCCAGAGGCGGCCAAAGTGACCCAGGACTCACTGCAGACCTTTGTATGTTCCGTATTCATATCTCCTTGTTCTTTGACGTTGACTGGTTTGTTTTGACCCTTGATGGGAGTTACATGATGAAGCCTCCCCATGGTGTTGGACCTTGGGGCTCTTCTCATTTCTGTCAGATTCTCTCTGGCCCACTCTGATTGGATTACTCCACTCATGTCCAGTTCGTGTCCTCCCATGTTTAGTCTGCTAGCTGTGCCTACTTCACTCTTCTTAAGAACAGTTTCACCTAACTATTTTGGTGACAGAACAGTTAATAGACATAATGTACCCAATACTCTCTACTTTATTGACCTAGATGAACGTCAAATGCAAACTCATTGAAGTGTGGGCGATAAAACAAAACAAAACAGAAACAAAAAACAAACAAAACAATCCAAGATGATAGTGACCTTGGCATGTGAGAAAAAAAAAAATAAATGTAATGCAATGGATTCTCCTTGTTCTAAACTAAATCTCTCACACTTATCTGACATGATTTTTCCCCTTGTTTCAAGTGATGGTAATAGTTGGTCAGCCCTTGGAAGAGGACATCATAATCGATTAGATCAAAGTTGGTCACTGTTGGTGCAAGTTTTATAGCTAGTCTGCGAAAGCCCATATGTCCTTCCGTTTGGTATCTTAATGTTTGACCACTGGAAGCATTACTTGCCAAGTGCAGTTGTAACAGTGTTGAGAAGATAAGATGTTTAACTTTTGGAGCTTTGGAAATAGATATTGCGTGTGTCCTTTTTGGTTGTTGCTGTTTTGAGAGTCAGAGTTTCGTATCAGCCCGAGCTGGCTTTGACATCACTATATAGCTGAGGATGACCTTGAATTTCCCATCTCGCCTCCTGAATGCTGAGATGTCAGTCATCCACAGCCTCACTGGGTCTCATGTGATGCTTGGGATCCAACCCAGGACCTTATGAGTGCTAGGTGAGCACGCTATCAACGGAGCTGCATCCCCCACCCCTTGGCAAACTATGTCTGAAGCTATATTGGTTCTGCCACTTCGTTTGGCACTGAGTAAACCACTTAATATCCTGAGCCTCCACTTTTCCTGGGCAGAGTTTGACCGGAATCACCACCTAGAGCATAGGATGTCCAAACAGCACTCAACACTGAAAGGTGACAGTCAATAAATCAGCTGTGGCCGCTGCGTGCTGGGCTAACATTAAGGTTATTGATGAATTATAGAGTATGATTCTTCAAGATTGAAAGGTGTTCTACTATTTGATACTTTGTGTGTTTTACTTTGAGGGGGTGAAGGGAGGGTGGGTTGTTTGGGACATTACAGACACCAGAAACACAAATAGCAAGTATATAGTTTCCTAGAGGAGCAAAGGGATGCAGAGGATGTTGGAGCCAAAGGTCAGGGCTTGGTCTAACACATGCACTCCACGTCCTTACACATCTCCTGGTTTAGAGAGGCACGTAAAGCCTCCTCACTGAATCAGATTGGACCATGCAACCCAGAGCAGGGATCTGGTTCTCATCCCAAGTTCTCCCCTTGAGGCCAGGTAGCATCACAGCTCCCTGGGCCTTATCCAAACATACTTTGCCCTGCCTAACTCCATAGTGTCTGATTCCAGGATCTGGGTAGGAACCTCACAGGCCCCCAGGATGCTCACGCCATGGGTCCGAAGTCCACATTTGACAGCAGTTTTTGTAAAGGCCAAGAGCGAGGGAAAATTACCCCCCCACACACACCTTTGCTGTGCATGGCTTATTATGCAAAGGTTACGTATTATAAAATGTTGATTCACTATCATTAAGGGTTTTTTTTTAAGTGAAACATTTTTCATTGGTCTGCAACCAGCCCAAGAGAGAGGAGAAAGAGAAGGAAACCAGCACAGATCACATATTATAAGGATCCCTTACCTTGTGCACTTTTTCTCTGGTAAGGGTAGGTGGAGTTTGGTGCCTGAGTCCTGGTCTGAGCACAGGCAAAAGAGATAAGGGCATTCTGTGTGGGTCTACTGGCTCGTTGCTGAGGGTTTTTACTTTATGTACAGTCTGATAAACCCGGTGTTTTTTTCTGGGCAGTAGACTCAGGCCCATTTGACGTTGTAAGGCGGAACCCTCGGGAAGCAGAATGTAATGATGGGTAAAACACTCCTGCCTGTGAACATATTTTCATCCATGCTTCTGACTTCTGCTGGAGTGAAACTGAACCGTGGAAGTGATGAATGCAGCCTTACAGATAAAGGTCCCTGGAGTGTCCCCTGAGGCGGAAGGCTGATAATTTATGTCTGCAGACCCCTGGCTCACGTAGAGACATGGTGGCACCCAGAGGATAAGGACACACACATGTCTGGCCTCTGGAATGAACCCACCTGGCAGAAGAAAGCCGAATGGAGGCCAGACCCATAGTTTTCATATTTGCTTAGCACTGAGAAATAACTTCTTGATGCCAAGACCAAGGGTTGTGATCTTGATAGAATAAGAGTTTTAAGCCCTGAAAATATACCGAGTTACCGCCAGTTCTCTCTTATTAAAAGTTCAAGCCAACGAGTTCCACATTCCACAAGTACTGGCCATGTGGGGAACGGGGCGTGCCACCCACAGCACCCTGGGCCGACTCCTCTTCCTCTCCAGGATTTTCCTAAGAGAAAAATGAACCCCTGTGAGTTTTCACTTGGCTTTGAAATCCCCTTGGACCTCACAGCTCTCCTCAGTCTTTGAGTGAAGCCATTATCAAAAGGTGAAGCATATATATATATGTATGTATGTATGTATGTATGTATGTATGTATATGTATATGTATATATATATGTATGCATGTATATGTATATATATATATGTGTGTATATATATATATATATATATATATATATATATATATATATATATCCGCTTTTTATTAGCACTGCACTGTGTAAGGATGGAGCCCACTGAAGATGAAAAAGTGCATCTCTAAGAATGGACATGCGCATCTGTAGCAAATGAAATGGAAAGATATTCTTGAATACAAGAACCAGGCACAAAATAGCACATGCAGTATGAAAATCCTGGAAGGTTTTAGTGTTTTTCTCTTTTCAGATAGGGTCTCAGAAGATACATTTTTTTTTTTTTTTTTTTACTTGCTTGTATAATTGGAGTCCATTAAAGTAACGCCTGGTCATTTGAAAAGTCAGAGAAAACAATTTCCTGGGTAGGGAAGCCTGAAGTTAAGCTCAAGAGCAACTTGTCCCATGGGGCACTGCCTGATCCTTCATCTGGGATGTCTGTCCCTGGTGAGGGAAGCAGCCATTGGCACTTGCGACTTCTGCAGCTAGTAAATAACTACAAGTTGTCATTTCACATGTCTGGGATTCCCATTTATGACAGAAGGAGCAAGAGACCTGTTAGAAGCAACTCTAGATAATGAAATCCACTACCTTGATTTTATCTTCCTGTTTGCCAAAATACTGCCAACCACTTTGTAAGCAAAATTTACTCTCTATCAAACTTTATAAAAAGAGACAGTAATTTTTAAAATCTTTATGGTACAGCTAAGTGATCAAAGTCCCAGGAAGGTTTCATCCCAGGGATGTGCCGTTCCGGGGACCATGCTTTTAATGATTTCAAAATGAAAAAATGAAATACAAACACGTTTTGTCTTTATTTGCTTGGTTTCATATGTTTAAGTAAGAACCTAGTACTTTAATTCTGCTCTAAAGGTTTAGCCCTCGGTTTCCAGAAACAATTACTCGTCACCGCTTACCATTTGATTTCTAGGGACACTCTTCAGTGTTTTAAAGTCAGTCCTTCATGCCTGCTTTATCTGCTTGCTTCCCCAGTCACTTTGTTTGTCCTCCGTGTCTTTTCAAACCATACACATGGTAATACCATTCCACATCCACGTAGCCAAACAGGCCATGCCTTGTTTTTTCAGAGAATATCGTTTGATGAGGTCCTTCCTCTTAAATGGCCGTGTGAAAATACCATATGTGCTTCTTGTCCTGGTTGACATATGGTCTGCTCGCCGATTCTCTAACGGAGAAAATGAGTCTAGACTGCCGTCATCGGAGTACTCAGTCGAAGCTTCCCCTTGTGTTCTATTTAGTGATGACTGTCATCATCACTAAAGTCTTCAGTGTGGTCGGACCTCTAGCACCGCGGCTCCCAGCGTTCCCGATGCTGCACCCCTTTACTTCAGCTCCTCATGTTGTGCTGGCCACCAACCATGAGATAATTTCCTTGGCTACTTCATAACTGAAATTTCGCTACTGTTATGAATCATAATGCAAATGTGATTTATGTAATGGGAATATCTCACATGCAGGAAATCTGATACTCCACCCCTGTGAAAGGATCATTCGGTCCACACAGGGGTTGAGGCCCACAGGTTGAGAAGTTCTGCTAGTGTTTGTGGAACCTCGCTCACTTGTCTGTTGCTAGGGTCAGGAATGAACATTTCTAAATACTCTTCAGCGTACAAAATACACAGAATGTTGAGTGCTTGCCCGCCATGCATAAGGTCTTGGGTTCAATCCTTCGCACCATGAAGGAAGGGGAAGACAGGTGGAGAGAATAAGGGAGGGAGAGAGAGAGAGAGAGAGAGAGAGAGCTGATTACGGAGACTTTCTCTCTACTCCACTCATTACTTCTCTCTTCTGTACATCTTCTACAAAGATGAATGATGTAACACTTGGTTAATGCAATAGGCAATGTGAAGAATGACATGATGATGGCAATTTATTTCGCTAATGGACCATCCCCATGAGCCCACACCATTTAGTACACTAGCTGTTAATGTCTAAATTGAAATGGAAGAAGTAAACGTTCACCCTCTAA